CGCTCCTTGTGTTCCGGTTTGCCGTCAAAGCAAGGGACAAGTAGCCACTTAAAATGTGGAATGACAGAAGGGTGAACCTGAAGAAAATAAATGTGGAAGCAGTAGATGTGTCTTCCTTGGTGATGGATATATTTGAGGCATTTTACTTTTGCAATCTTAATAGTTAACTAATAAACATTTTCGGGGGGGTGGGGGGGAGGGGGAAGTAACAAAAAAGCTAATGAAAGATTAAAATTGGCCGAAAGGTTCATCTTTTAAAATGATTTGTGTAGCACTGCTGTTTGTTTTTRATTAGTTATAATAGTACGCAAATATTACTTAGTAGACAGGCACAGGTTTATGGGAGAAACCACGAGGACTGTAATACCTTCCCTGCCCCCTAATTTCCCTTTACACAGCACATCCTGTTATGTCATATCTGTTCATTGTCACGTTGTGGCTACACTTGCTTCCTTTAACCTCTCTTATTTATGTCAGAGTTAATTACTGAACTTGTGGAAAACTCTATCATTAAACAGGATGAACTTGGTCATAAACTGATAATAAAAACCTTACATTATATGAGACATGATTCGAAATGCATATGTCATCCCTTGTCAGTGGGATGTTGTGAATTTTTTGTCTTTTGTTTTTGTATTATCCTTGAGCTATCTCTACTTTGGAGAAAATSAGGAAGACATATGATCTATGAGGTTCTTCTGTCACATAAGCTCACAAAAGCCCAAAGCTCCAGCGGTTTTGGGGGTGGWAACCAAAGAATGCCAGAACTGAACAGTGTTAGAAGTACTTACCAACAGACCCACCAAGCGGTAGTATTTATGTTAACACTTCAGTCACAACACTGCTCCCAGCACAACACCGCAGAGACATCATCTTCATAGTGACATGTTACTAGTTTTTACATGCAGTTACTGTAAAAATGCTCCTATTTTTAAATAACCTCAAGGAGTTGTATTAGGATAATGTCAGACCACAGTATGAATGATCATGCCCTCCAGTTTTATGTATTTTCTCATCCAAATAATTTATTTTTATAATTTACATAATACAGATTCTTGATTTAAATACTTAGAGAATCCAAATAAGAAAACCCCTCATTTATTCTTTCATAATCTAATCCAGGAAGTTTCTCTCTCCCTATATAATCCTGTTAACAARCTGAGAAGTTAATTAAACAGCATCTTGCTTTATCCAATAGCTGACTGGCATTCACTCTTTTCAATGTTAGGTTAGTAGTCCCTTGTCCTCTCACCACCTAACTTCTTTACATATTAAAAGTTCTCTTTCATACAGATATTACCATATTTCATGCAGTTACTGTATTTTTAAGTGTACACAACTGAGAAAAAAAATTGATTTGGTTGATCACTGCTTTTTTTTTTTTTTTTTTTTTTTTTTTCAATTAAGACAGCTTGAGTGGATTGCACATGCTATTTTGTGAGTTTTGATATCATTCTGTAGCTTTTGTCCTCTAGGTAAAAAGAACAAATGGCAGAACAACAGTAGTACAAATGGAAACAAAGACATAAAAACATCCAGGTATATACTATCAAAATAATTAGTACATCAACTGGGCAATGCTACTCTTTTTTCTGTAAGGAATTTTACTATTAGCAAAGTCATTTGARCAGTTTGATTTCAAGTGAATCTGTGATCAAAAGACAGATGAAACTGCCAAGTAACAGTTTCAGTTTAATTGAAACAGAAAAACTACGAACTTGAAAGTGTAGTCAAGAATGACCTCCCTGTTTTGTAGCTGTCTCTTCGTTGATGGATTCACTCCTTGAGTRGCAGCTATATAGAAAATGGCAAGTTCTTAGAAGTTCTACCCTGCTCACAAGCAAATTTTCGATTTTGTCTGAGTTGGTTCAACCAGCTGTCGCTAACGTGACAGAACTGTCACCCAGATGGATGAGAGCTGACAGTCCCTAATGGGTTGAAMAAAGAGGAGGTCTAGATTAATGTAATGATAACACTGAAATCTGTGTCTCCACATTCTTGTCACCTCTGGTTTCAAACTGAAAAAGCAGAGGAGATCCATTAAATCCCTCTGCAACATCAAAATCCAAGATCATCATAGTTGTTTACAAAGAATTAAGTGGTTTGGAATATTGTTGGATACTCTTAAGTAACAAAAGAGCTTTTTAATATTCTGAGGATAATAAAATTTGCAAAAAAATGTACCAGAACTTACTTTTGTGCTGAATCCTTTTCACATGAGAATGCTAGCAAAACTTGCTACATATTTTCTCCTTAGAGGTCACCATTAGTAAAGCATTTCATTCACCTTTGAACATTTCAGTGCAAATGCTCTGAAAACTTCTCTTTCCATAAAGCTCATAGTACCTTGGCTATTGTTTAAATATTTGCTTTTGGAAATGAAGATGATTTGTCATTGATACTGATTTACTGTAGTACAGCAGACACTGGACCACAAACAGCAGCAGCCCAAAATCTGTTTTGTGCATGACTCAGGCTGAGCATGCAGAGGTGTTGACTTTGACCAGACAAGCAGGGAGCACCTTCAGCCATCTGCCTCTAATCTTAGCATAATCTTTGAGTCAGTCCCCCGATATAGGTATACAGATAATAACATTCAACACACCAGATGAGTAATGCCGCTTCACAAATGTCCAGTGGAAGCAAAGATACAATCCTTGCTGACATGAACAATAAATAAAAATTACATGTGCATCAGAATACTCACAGCTACATCCTAGTTTGTTTTTGATAAACAATTAGAGGTGAGAAGACATCAAAACGCCCAGCCAAGCACACAGATTTATGAGAATACACAAACTGAAGASAGATGGGAGAATTCAGCATAAAGGTGGTGTGGAATCTTAATGCCATCTACTGGCAATTTACTGTGCTACACTAGAAACTGTAAGAACATGGACARAAAGGTCAGGATTGCAGTCTGAATTTAGCAACAGTCTTTTTGTTCTCCTGAATATGAAGCGCCAAGAGAAGGTTTCACTTGGGGCAGAAAGGTACATGGGCCACCATCTTCAGTTGCATCAGAATGCCAGCCTGCTTCAAACAGAATCCCCACTCAAAGAATGGAAATGAAATTGGTGAAGGGYCCAGAGCACAAGTCTCATAAGAAGCAGCTGAGGGAGCTGAGGTTGTTTAGCCTGGAGAAAAGGGAGCTCAGGGGAGACCTTATTGTTCTCTAAAAATACCTGAAAAGAAGTTGCAGCAATGTGGGGATCAGCCTCTTCAAACGAGTAACAAGTGATAGGAGGAAATGGCCTCAAATTGCACCAGGAAAGGTTTAGATTGGACACTAGGAAAAAAAAAAAATCTTGATCAAAAGGGTTGTCAAGCATGGRAACAGGCTGCTCAGGGAAGAGGTGCGGTCCGGATTCCTGGAAGTATTTAAATAACACAGAGACRTGATGCTTAGGGACACAGTTTAGTGATGCACCTGGCAATGTCAGGTTACTGGTTAGACTTGATGACTTAAGATGTCTCTCTAAATGACTCTATGTTGGGGCAGAAAATCTCTTAATCCCCTGCAAACTCTGTAGCTGTCAGGATGATTCCTGCATTTCCAACATGTCCACCCTCACAGCATGGAGTCAGCATGTACAATTGAGGGCTTCCCTGTCTTGGGCAATTTTCACCTACTTCCTTGTTTGATTTCACYTCAAGCTGACTGGACAAACTTCTTCAGGACTTTTTATTTTTTTCAGGAATGAATTGTTTTCGTCTTCTTATAAGATGTGTCCAAAACCATGAACAGGATACTCTACTTTGGCACACTTATCCTAGGAGACAGCAAATGATGACATTGAGATTGCAAGACAATAGCCAGTTTTGTCTGGTTGCAACTGAACTGGTCTTTCCTTAATTCAAATTTCATTCTTTGGTGGAGGAAGTTTAATTAATACTTTAAGTGCAGGGAAAAGGAGCAAAAATTTCCTGTTCCAGACTCACACATGCAAGCAGAATGAATATGTACATGATGGTAACCTGGAAGTCAGTTTTACAGTTCTTCGATTGCACTCCTCATCTGCCTCTGTTGTCTGTAAAAATTTGTCCCTACAGGTCTGTTAAGCAGTAATTGTGCATTAACCAGGCAAGCAGTAGGTTTAAGAACTGCAGCATTCATTAAGCTGAGTAGGTAGGAAGCTATGACCCAGAGAATGGTACTACACACMTCCTYAGATTCCTGTGTTGTTACTTGTATGGACAGCACCTGTAATCATTGACATGTRSCTACAATGACACATSACT